TACACATCGAAGGGAATGGGCTTAAAGCCAACACAATGAGATCTCCTCAGCGGCAACCTAACCTAGCAGAATTGGAGATCCCATGGTCTAGGTTCAATAGGAAAACAAGTCGGGGACAACTCAAGCGATAATCAAACAAAGGTATGCCTATCCCTATGATGTTTCCTTTGTATTTTACGTTGATGATATAGGGTTGAATATTATATTCTTAATAATGCTGATAGCTATTTTAAGTAGAATACTACAGAATATTCTAGATCGGCATTACCTATGTGAGATTGATGTGGGGTCGCATCCTTGAAGACGGATATGGCTACGTCTTCTAAAACTCTCATTTCACGACCGAAATGAACAAAACGGTAAGAATTAAATTATGTATAGATATAACATGTGTGATGCCTATTGTCTCGATTTACTACAAAAAGTKGCTAGTTCAAGACCTTGTTCACTATCCATGAAGTAGATCCGATAGGCATTCACTAGGAACGGTTCAAGTCCAAAAGACACCTTTTCCGATGCATGTTATAACAGCTTGGTGATGGAAAACCAAGTCCCAGTAAATATTGCTTATTTTCTATTCAAATGTGGGGTATTATTGGGGTTTGAATAGAAAATGTGGGGTACTGTTGGAACTTAGTTTAGTGTAGAAGAAGTTATCGGCGGTTATTACTGACGGTTATTGGAAGTTATCGGCGGTTATTACTGACGGTTATTGGAATTTATCGGCGGTTATTACTGACGGTTATTGGAAGTTATTGGTGGTTACTGGCGGTTAACGAGAAGGGTATAAAAACCCTTCACTACCTACGTTTTCTTTGCTCTCTCGCTCAACCATCAAACACGAAAAACAACTCCATGTTTTCTCTCTCGTTTCTTCCACACGAATCCATCACCGACCATACTCTTAATTCGATAGATTCAAGTTCATACTTGAATAGATTGTTGAATCCTCAAGACAACACCGATTCATCAGTGCAATTTTTGTCTTAGGACACTGCGCTTAACGCGGGCCTCGATCGGTTTTCTGCAACGATCTTTGGAACAACGAATCTATGACTACAAGTAAGGTCTACGATTTCTAGTTATTTGTATTTCGTGTAAAGATACTAGATGAATATTGCAGTTTTCTGTTTTGTTCAATATATACGCATGTTAGTACGTTATATGGTTGATCAATCCCTAACAAAGATGTGACACACATATCACTCGTACCATATCATCTAACAACTTGATTATGTAGGTCCCATTTATACAAGACGAAATAAAAATATGATTTGTGTCTTCCATTAAATAGATCCCAGAGTATAAAGGAATAGGAAACCCACTAAATAGAGGATGTAGAGTGCAAGAAAAGGAAGATAAATCAATAATTACACAACAGTCAAAGAGAACTCTACTTAAAAAGGTGGCAATGATACAAGGAAGTTACTGGGAAAATGGAGAAATGGGACCTGAGATTGCAGTCAAATAAAAGAGACCATTCCACAGAAGCTTCTTCTTTGCCTAACCACTTTTTTAAAAGCATACCTTTTTTCTAAAATATCGGAATATCGGAAGATCATACCATATTATATTATCTGTATCACCAAACAAATCCAACTGTTTGCATGCTATGTATCTCCTTCTACTACAATATGCCAATATACCATAACATATTTTCTACTATAAATATAACCAAACTCATTGCTGTTATACATAAATCAAGAGTTATCAAAACCATTATTTGTGAACAGAAATCTTTTCTTCCAAATTTCTGAGTGTTAATGGCAAAAAGCAAGCAGCAGAAGTCATTCTTTTCGTTTTTCAGCATCTTCAGATCGCAGAAGGCTCGACGAGATGAGGGCAAGTTCGATGATATTCTTAAAGCTTACAGAGTTTACCCAAGCGATCAAGACGGGGTCCGTTGGGTGGCTGACCCTGCAATCGACAGAAAAGCTTCGTCTTATATTAGTAGTATTACTACTATGTGGAGCCATGATCTTGATATAACCAAATAAATATGATTCGTTTCTTGAAGATTCGACTATAATTACTGTCCAGTTTCTCTATAATTTCTGTGTTTGGATTGAATTCTATGTTGTTGTGCTGGCTTATTGCTACTCAGTCCATAGGATATACCTATATATTGATTTCATTAAGGTTTGTACATGATCAAGTATTCTTTCCTATTGAGGAATGAATGGACACAATGTATAATATGCCTAGAACAGTGTTCTACGTAATTATTTTTCTGTAATTTTTGGGGCAACTTTTCCAAAGAAATATCCCTTTCTAAAAGTTTAAATTATGCTTCAATTAGTTGCACCTTGTTCTAGCGTTTCACTCATAAATATATATACAAACTCACAATCAGCACAAATATCTCATTGCTAATTTCTTTTTCTTCATTGGCCAAATTGAATTTGGATTCCCTACACAGTGCTTCAATGTTTCTCCATTACCCACAAAGGTAAACTTTGATTTATTCAATCAATTTAAATTGTGTGTAAAAATACATTTTAGAATTTTGAATTAGAGAACATAAATTTACAATCCGTCATTATTATAATTGTTAGAGAAGGCATGGGATACTTCCTACATAATGAATCCCTAAGTTGGAGAATTACTTATTGATTTCGCTAAACATAGTTGACGGATGTCGAGTCAACCAAATAATAATAGATGACAGATGCCGAGTCAATCAAATAATAATTTCTAACGGCTAGCCAATGACAATCAAGAATGTAATTGCGGTAAGTCGAGTCAAACCCACATATACTCAGAACGGACAAGTAAAAGTAAATACGAGGTGGGGTTCCAATTGATTAGTTAAACTAAACTTGCAATTAAAATGGATTAGAAAAAAGCAATGTATCAAAAAACCAAACAATGTTGACTCTCGATTAAAGTGCAAATACTTATCATTGATACCAGAAATGTAAAATAGCAAAACAAATCCAAATTGGTTAACCTAGATTTTTCCTTAGATAAACAATGATTAAAACAAGTTCTTTAATCGAATTTTAACATGAAATAGAAATTTGAACAAGCTCTCATTTCTCCAGGTCAATTAGCATATTAACGAGTTAGAAAAATCACCAACTCAAAGCAATAAGCACATAAGCTCGGCTTATTAATTAGAGCTTCGATTGCAAGAATTCAAGAAACCAAATTGAAAACCTTACTGAGACCAAACGATTTCATTAGTCACTTTATCAAAATCCCTAGACGATTACGGCTCTTATGGTTTCAAATAACAAACATTCATAAGAACATTAACTAATTAATCAAGTTAAATAACGATTCAAACGAAATTGACGTTCAAGCAGAAGATTACAACAAAGTCTCAAATTGGAACATAATCTAAAGAAAAACCTCTGGTAGAATGAAAAAACTAAGCCACACATGGCTAAATTGAGATTACAACTAAAAACAAGAAAAGAATTACCAAAAGTGAAAGGAAATTGATCAAGAATGTTTCCTATCGATCATTTTCTCTCTCCAATTTGTTCCCAGAAGTTGACCCCCTTAGAATGGCCGTTTTTCACTCTTAAATACCCCTAAAAAAAACTCTTAAAACCGACTCCGTCATGAATTATACGTCATTTGAAACGTATGCTTCCCATTTGAAAAGAATGCATGGATCCTTCCTCTTTGAATAACTATGCCCACTCTACCTTATCCCTTTAGAATTTGAGAAATTATGCTACACCTTTGCAGTCATTTGAAAAACTATGCTTCACAGAGAGTTGGCGACTTTTTACGCGACTTAAGTTGCCAAAGACGTCGCGGAAGCCACATTTTGGCCCATTTTCTCAATTCTAAGCCTCTTTCACTGCTATTCAGCAATAGTCATAATAAGAGACTCAAATAAACATATTTTAGCGATATTATGAAATGAAATAAGGATTTGAGCTTATTAACGTATATTAAAACTTCAAAACTTTGTAGCTATCACTAGAAAAATTGAAAACTTTTAGAATCACAACAAAGAATTAGATAGATCACATTACCATGCATTTATTTGTGCAAAATGAAGTTAATATGGCAGGGTATGTCTAGAAATTTGTAAACTAGTCTTATTTACTGAAATATAATACAAGAATGGTAAAACACAACAAAAACTAAAGTAATTATAAGGTAGCGTTTAGTACGCAGACATGATTGGACAGGAGTGGACAAGAAAGAACTGGATAGGACAAAACAGGACAGGACTGGATAGGACTCGACGGGACAGAAATGGACAGAACAAGAGTATGTATGGTGTTTGGTACGACTAGGACCGGAAGGGACAGAACTAGACAAGCTACCCTAAAAGTTATTTGATGATTTTAAATATAATATAATAGTTATAATTAACACAAATGAAGTAAATAATTAAAAATTTTAATTTATAAATATTTGTACTCAATTTTCATATAAATGAATACATACGTATATAATTACCAAATTTGAAAGAAAAAATTGATATAATTAATGGTAGTAGTAGGGGTGGAGGTAGTTTTGGTTATGATGGAGGTGGTGGTGGCTGACCGTAATAGTGGCAATGGACGGTGGTTGTTATGGAGGTAGAGGTAGTGGTGGTCGTGGTGGTGGTGGTTGGTGGACGACGGTGGTTATAGAGGACATGAAGATGGTGGATTCTGGTGGTGGTGGCGGTTGACAATGGTGTAGAAAGTAGTTGTGGCTGATGTAGTGAGGATAGTGGTGGTGGTGGTTATGGTGGAGGTGAGGTGGCAATGAATGATGGTGACTGCTAGTGGTTGTGGAGGAGGTTGTTGCAGTAGAGGAGGAGTTGGAGGTGTCCAACGGTGGTAGTGGTGGTGGTGGTGGTGGTGGAAATGGACAGTGGTCGATGGGCGATGGTGGTTGTAGAGGTGGCAATGGACGGTAGTGGTCGATGGTCGATAGTGGTTGTGAAGGTCATGGAGGAGGTTGTTGTGGTATAGTTGGATTTAGAGGTGGCCAATGATGGTAGTATTTGTGGTAATGAGTGGTGGTGGCCGATGGTAGTTGTAAAGATGGCAATGGACAGTGGTGAAGGAGATTGTTGTAGTAGTGGAGGAGTTGGAGGTGGGAACGACGGTAGTGGTGGTGGCAATGGACGGTGGTGGTTGGTGGTTGGCTATGGTAGAGGTAAGGATGGACTTGGTGGACGGTGGTTGTAGAGGCGGTGGAGGATGTTGTTGTAGTGGAAGATGAGGTGGAGGTGGTCGTCGATGACCGCCGGTGGTGGCGGGGGCCAAAACTAGCGGTGATGACCCAAAAAACTAATACCATATTAAGAATATATATCAAACTAGGGTATATTAGTAATATTTTGGTTTATGTCTCATTCTTGTCTTTTTGGTGGAACAAGAAAAAGTCTCTTTTGTCCCATGTTGTCCCATGTTGTCCCACCTTGTCCCAGTTCTTGTCCCTGTTTCATGTCGCTCCAAACGTGGGACAATGACTTCTTATTCAGTCCCATGTTGCACCAAATATAGGACAGTGAGTTTTATCTCGTCATATCATGTTCCGTCCCATGTACCAAATGCAGCCTAAAGAAACAATTATTGACAAACCCTAGCTACAAAGAGAACTCATTAGACGTTTACGAAATGGAACAATGAATCTAATAATGTAAAACACCAAGAGACTCAACCAATTTATATTTTATGAAAGTTACAAAGCGATCCTTCAAGAATCAGCAAACATGCTCTGTTACCCTTGAAGAATCGACCATTATGTAAGTGGAGTCCCTCTTATCCCTCGAATTTATTCAGCATGCCAACAAGAATCCTTCACAATATTAAACCCTAAAAAAAAGCATAATAAGGGACTAAAATATGACAAGATTGCATTATATTATCAAGATTGAGTTTTAACATCCTCCCTCAATCTTCACACTTGAACACATCAAACATGTTCAATTTAGAACAAAAATAATTATGTTGATTTGCACCAAGAGATTTTGTGAACATATGTACAGGCTGTTGATAAAAGATATTATTTTTACAGTTTTTAACAACCCTATTGCAATTTGTTTCTTACTTGATTTATATCAATTTCTATATGCTTTATTCTTTCATGAAATATTAGATTATTAGCAATCTGAGTAGTTGATTTATTATCACAAATGAAATTTATAGGAATTAAATCTTTGACATGTAAATCAGAAAAAATGTTAAAAAGCCATGATGACATTCACAAGTAGCTGAAGCCATATCGTTGTACTCAGATTCGATAGAAGATCTAGAAACAATAGTCTATTTCTTACTTCTCCAAATGATTAGACATTCTCCTAAAATAGACAATATCCGGTTACAGACCTTTCAGTAGAAAAACACTTATCACAATAAGAATCAACAAGAGCATTCAGCTTAAAATCAACAGATTTTGAAAGTCTTATACCTTTTCCAGAAGAAAACTTTAAATATCACATAACTCTAAGAACAAGTTTAAGATGCGAATGATGAGTGAGTGCATAAACTAACTTAAATAAATACTCTACAAAGGTTATGTTAAGACAAGTGGCAAGAAGATATATTGAACGATCAATTAATCTTTGATATCCTGAAAAATCAGATAAATGAGGATCTGAAGATACGGAACCTATAGAATTTGTAACGACAAGATTCATATCGATTGGAGTACAAATAGGTTTAACACCCAGATAACAAAAATCATTTAATAACTCTAAACAATATTTTCTTTGAGACATACACAAGCCTTTATCACATTTTAAATTTTCAATTCCTATAAAAAAACTGAAGACTCCCGAAATCTTTAATCATGAAATTAGTTTTCAAATGATCTTTAACTATGTTAGTCTCATTATTATTATTTCCAATAATATCAATATCATCTATATAAACTAAGAATACTGAAAAAAGATAATCAACAAAAATAGTAAAGAGAGAATGATGACTACTACCTTGAACAAAACAAAAACTAAATGGACATTCAAAAAAAATTCATACTATTTTCTTAGGGCTTGCTTTAAACCATATAAGGTTTAACAAGATGACAAACTCGTTTATCATCTATACAAAAGTACCCCTAAGAAAGACTCATATAAACTTCTTCAGACATATTAATTACCAAACAAGAAGGCATTGTTGGCATCTAACCAACACAATACTCAACCATTTTGAACAGATAAGAAACAATACATTTGATACTGATGTATGTTGAGAATTCAACATATAAAGCACTCATTTTACGTTTTATTAGTTAAATTAGTTTCCTTTTATTCCCACTTTGAGTCATTTTTATTAATTTCTTTATACCTTTGTTATTATGGAGCTAAATATTGTGGTTGACTTGTTGGTACTCAAGGAAGAAGCTAATGGAGAGTTTTTGTTAAAACAGCAGGATGCTACAGCATTGGAGCAGCGGCGATCTGATACATGCGCAACTTTTTGGAGAACTTATTGATTAAGCCGCAGCCTTTTTGTACTTTGTGGAAGACAGCTATAGAAGCTGACTTTTTGTTTAAAATCTGTAGTTAAGACTCTTGTTAGGATTATTGTACTTTTTAGTTACTCTAATTGTACTTTGTAACTTGTTTTAGGATGCTTAGCCCTTAAGGTTTGTACTTTTGTCTTTTAGTGACTTCTTTGGGTATAAAAGGAAGGCTTGGGTTTCACTTTTGCATACCATCTATCATAATCTAAGCTTTAAAATCAGTCCTCTCCAAGGGTGATTTGTAGTAACTTTTGAAGAAATACAAAGTTCTTAATTTTTAGTTTTTCATCTTTAATTTCTAGTCTTTTAATTTCCGTTCTTTATATTACGTTCTTTTACGTTTATTGTCATTTACATTCCGTTATTTACTTTCCGCAATTTATTTTCTTGTCATTTATTTTTCTGCCATTTATTTTACGCAATTTACATTTATGTCTTTACTTTCCGTTATTTATTTTACTTGTCATTTACTTTCCGTTATGAGTAGCTAAGTTTATATAGCTTGRGTGTGAGACGGAAAGGTGAGATTTTCAAACCAAAATAAAGTAGCTAAGTGTTTTCATAAACGACGTTCTATTGTTTCATTCGAGTTTTTATAAAACCAAGAACACTTCTTGACGGGTTGATCACTTTGAAAGTGTTAAAGTGTCATGGACTTAGAGATAAGCCATTGAATGCACGTCAACTTGAATGATATAAGAGATAGACTTGAGAAAGTTGTCGACAAGGAGACTTGTCATTTATGTCTTTCAAACTTAGCTCCCGACGGGTTGGTCACTCTTCGAAAGTGTCAAAGTGCGATAGATTCAGAGATGAACTATCTAGAACACACGCCAACTCGAATGATATGGGAATCGACTCGAGAGAGKGATTTTTAACAAAGAGATTTGTTTATCCATATATTTTGAAGACACCATCTTGTCACTATCCCTGGTCCGGACACCACATAGAGATACGGGTGGAAAGCTATAATATAGTGCAATGGTGAAGTCCGAGAGGAATACCTTCAAAATAGATGGTGGAACTAAGTTTTGAAACACTGCTTGCTGTAGCATTCCTACACCATTGGCTACTGGAATTTGTGTTTGGGTCTCATCGCAAGTCTTACATCTTTGCTATCTTTTTATATTTTGTAATCTGTATTAAATCACCTTAACATCAAATTGAAGTTTTCAAAATCGTCATCTAAAATCTTCTCTTTCATTGGACTCTCATTTAACTTTTGCTACAATCTTTGTGGACGATAATCCGGTACTTGTACCACTTTATTACTTGGAAAGAAGACATTGGACCATATTGTATACTTGGTTTGTGGCCCAATTCTCTAGTCAAAAGGTGTGTGATATAACCGACCAGATACCAACCACCTAGACGAAAAAAAGTCTTCTCATAGTCTAATCCTTCTCTCTAACTATACCCTTTAGCAGCTAACCTAGCCTTACATCTTTTTATCGCACCAGTAAATTTATATATAATTTTATAAATCCACCAACATCCTAATTGTTTTCTTCGAGATGGAAGATTGGTAACAACCGAGTTTCGTTCCTATATATGGCTTCCATTTCATTATTCATAGCCATAATCCAGTTACGATCTTTACAAGCATCAAAGTAGTTTGTTGGTTCAAGAGACTTATTCAGATTAGACACAAAACAAAATTCTCATAAAGAAATAATTCACAACCTTTTCTAAACCATATTTAACTTTACATTCAATAATAAAGTCATCAAATTTTTGAGGTAGACTTGAAACTCTACTAGACCCTTTAACAGAAACAGAAGTACTAACAACATTTAGGTTGGCAATGGCTAAGGGTAAACTTGTTACCTATTATGTTTCGACCCGTTGGATAAGGGTAAACATGTTACCCGTTATGTTTCGACCCGTTGGATAAGGATAAACATGTTACCCGTTATGTTTCGACCTGTTGGATAAGGGTATGAATCAAGAAAATTTTATCCATCTATCACTTATGTATTACCCGTTTACCTGAAATTTTAGTGGGTAGGGTTTGGATAAATGGTTTTTCGTTATTCATACCCGTTACAAAATTATATATATACACACATAAATATAATAAGTCACATAATATTTTATGATGCTATCATATATGTCGATACTAATGTATAATTTAATTTACTTTATATATTTCTCGAGTAAAAGAGTTCATGATGATTAAATGAGAAACAAGACGAGGTCGGAAAAATGAATACAATAAAATGAATACAATAAAAAGTGTTGTTTTACAATTTTTATATTGTTTTTTAAACATTATACTCTTAATATATTTAGAGGAATATTAAAATATTTATTATAACAAGTTAGATATAAAATAATTACTTTATTTATGAATTTATACTTTACATATATGTTTGAAGTTTAACAATGTTATTTATAGTTCAAAATGAATTTTTTTTACCATTTATTCATTAACCATTTTGTTACTCGCTATTTTTATAGGTAGAGATGGATATGAATAATAGGTTTATGAGATGGATAATTTTACATGTTCCTTTACCTACTATTTTAAATGGACTGGATAACTAAAACCCAATACCAGCCTTAACAACATTATCAAGGAAAAACATGATGAAGAGGAGAAGCTATAACACCGGCATCATCAACACCTCTGTTTTTTAAATTTTGAAAACCAAGAGTGTTCTCTAGTGTGACAGCTACATCAGAGCTACATAGATCCGCCTCACTGGCAGCTCTGTTTTTTTTATTAACCTGGATATCCAACCCGCTATGCAAACCGACTAATCTCAGGGCGACTACCTGCTTTGCAGATAGCCCGGAGTCACCGCATTTGAATCTCCGTGGCCACAAGAGGATCTTTATTCCTCCTTGGATATGAACCTGGGACCTTCCTGGTACTTTTGACCTTTGGAGTCAAGTTCAAACCAATCAGGCACCACCCTTGTGGTTGGCAGCTCTATTTTGACTACCAAGTTGCAAAAAAAAACCCCTTTAAGAATCAAGAAACATGCTCTGAATCGACCATTACGTAAGTGTCAGTCCCTCTTACCCCTCGGCTCTATTCATCATGTCAATAAGAACGCTTCTTCACAATATTAAACCCTACAAAAAAAAAGACAATAGCATAATAAGGGACTAAAAGTGACAAGATTGGATTCTATTATCAAGACCGAGTTTTGACAGTATGGTTCTAGAATTCTTAGAAGGAACCATACATAAACCATAGTTGCTAGAGATTACTTACAATTCGACTTGTGAACGGGACATCCTATATAACCTACTTAGTTATTTACTTATTTTGGATGGTCACCTATTTAGGGCATGTATTGTTCATTCTATCTTCTTATCTCATGCACACCAAGACACTACTCTCCACCATTGTAAGGGCATTCATTGCTTCATCATGTACATATATCAACAACAATCATCTAGTGGATACTCGACGTGTATTATTTTTTGTTTTCGGTTTTCCGCATATATCTTCGGGTGCTCATATCGTTAATGTTTGCAGGTTTATTGTTGTGTCATATACTACTGTTGTTGAGATTGTTATCTTTCTATTAGGTTTCCTTAAGTATATAATAACAAAGATGAAACATAAGAACACAAACACAATCAGAAATATATTTAGCATGTTAACACTCTAAAACTTACAAGAAGAAGTACTTAAAACTAGAACCAAACTTGTTTGATGATGACCAATTTTCATTTCGAATTTGCAAAACAAATGACACGTCTCATCTATACTATATTATAAATCATTTAACAAAAACTCTTAAAACCCATTTTTTATGCATGAAATATTGTTTATTGATGCATATTACTTAAAAATTTAAGATTACAAATAATTTTGCATAAGTACAACTTATTAAAGCTTCATTTTTAAATTCGTGTAACTAACTGTTGATAAACATAATTAAATACAATATAAACATTCACTTTAAATATAGAAAATCTAAAATATATATATATATATATATATATATCTTGTTTGGACTGACATTTATTGGGCAAACGTTAGGATTGTTTTAATTGGAAACGTTCCATATACAGTCGTTACACTGTCGAAATTGAGTGGTAGTATTTTTTAAACCACATGGTACCTATTCAAACAATCTCACCGAAAAGTACGGTGAGGATCCCTCGGCCTATCCCCTATAGGGGTGGCAAAAAATGACCCAACACATTAACCCAACCCGAACCCAACCCAAAATTAGCAGGTTGGGTTGAGATTTTCAACTCATTTAAATAAATGGGTCAACTTGTCTAACCCATTTATAGGTTGAATTTTTTGACCTGTTTTCAACCCACTTAAAATATTATGACTTTATTTTATTTTTAATATTATATCTATTTTATTTTTTATTTTGTTTCTTCTTAAATATTGACCCAAGTTTCATGATGACTCTTCGTTTTCAATCCTTCAATTCTTTCATACGCTTCATTCATTACTAATCAATATCATCTATCATGAGTATCATCCATCCTCTCAACGCTTTGGCTTTGCCTTCAATTCTTCAATCTTCATTATCGATTATCAATCTTCTCCCCTTCTTTTGAGTTCTATCTTCTCGGATTCTCCAATCAAAGATTTGGGTTGGTTTCAGACTTTCAGTTTCCGATTTGAGGTTGAGGGCTTGATCAAGTAAGTGAGCATGTTGTGGATTTATAGAACTTTGTATTGATATATGTTTAAATTAAGTACTACTGGAGATGGTTCCTTTCAGATTTTGTATAGTTCGCTTTGCCATTGTGGGTTTTCTATGAACCACCTCATATCTTCTTACATGCTTTTGACATTAGTGCCCTAGTTAGTCAGTACTGTTTTTAATTTGTAGCTGGTTCTTAGCACCATGATCTCTCAAGCTCTCATATCATGAGCACATATTTTTGCAGCAACCATAATGTTAGTCTGTGGTTTTAAGCAAATGCTTGGCCAGAGTTGTTTGAGGACAAATACAATGATAGATTTCTCAAAATTGTAGAATAATGTTCGAAATTACCAAGATTCTCTACATTGGTTAATCTAATGCTTATGTTTTTAAATAAAATCAGAAAAACCCAAGCAGGGAACGGAAAAAATTAGACAAATAATACTTGTATAACTAAACTTAAAAGATTAAGGGATTTCCACTTCCATGTGATCGCTAAATAATATACAAACTTTAGCCATTTTTAGTAACCACCACAGCAGCAGAGGAGGTAGTTGGTTTCCAGCATCAGATACCTCCACTTGAAGCTTAAAATAGTTTTGAACGGTCATAAAAATGCACCAACTAAATCAGATCTCTAATTAATTTCAGTTCAAGGAAAAAAAATCAAATGAGATTTGGTTTGAATAGTGGCAGAACTGACATGGGGTGATGCCATGTTCAAAAAGGGGTTCACTAACCTGACAGATAAGAAAGAACTAAAAAAGAATTCAAAAAGAGATTTAAATTAGATGCATATTTTGTAATGCTTTGTTTTAGGGTACATACATCTTAGAAACAAGAACCTGTAAATAGAGTAGAGTCATAAGTGGCAAAAGACAAGAGAGATGCAAATCATGGTAAAATATTTGATCCACTAAATAATTGGTAAGGTTTTGGCTACTAACAGTGAACAGAAAACTTAATTCTTGCCTATTTGGGGTTTTTTTTTTGTTATTTTTTGTTGACATGGTAATGGTTCAAGTCTCCAAGATGTTGACTCTACTATTTCAATGATTATTGATTAATACTTTGTGTTTTATTTCAGTGAATAATACTAGTAATATGGTTGAGATTTCGGAAGAAGATGATCTACAAAGTCCTCCACCTTCGTCAAAGAACAACGAGAAGAAACCGATTAACCAATTAAAACCAAACAAATTTGGTGTGGAATTCAAATGTCAAAGAAAACTTACATCTAAGGTATGGAATAGCTTTGATTTTATGGATCCTGATGAAAATGGTGAGTTACATTGTACATGAAACAATGTGGTTAGGTTTATAATGCTGAAACTAGAATGGGTACCAGGAATTTGAAACGTCATCTTAGAAATTGCAAAAAAAAGTCGATTTAAGGATATTGGGTAGATGGTGTTGGATTATGGTGGTAGTGGTGGTTTATTAAATAGTAGGCTCCTTGATTTTAACCCTAATACTTTTCGTGAGCTATTATCTAGTGCTGTTGTGAAACATGAATTGCCATTTCAATTTGCAGAATATGAGGGAATTATGAAGTGTTTCACTTATTTAAATCCTGAAGTGAAAGTTGTTTCAAGGAATACCATAAAGGTTGGTATTTTGAAGATGTATAGGATGGAAAAGTTGAAAATGAAAGATGCTTTAATTTGTACTCCTGGTAGGATTTGTTTGACCTCTGATTGTTGTACATCCATAACCACTGATGGTTATATGTCCTTGACTGCCCATTTCATTGACAATTTTTGGAACTTGCAAAAAATGATTCTAAATTTTAGTTTTTTGGCTACACCACACACTGGTCTTGCTTTGAGTGATCACATGTTTAGTCTTTTGAAGGATTGGGGGATTCAAAAGAAAGTATTTTCAATTACTCTAGATAACGCTTCTTCTAATGATGCAATGGTTGATTTTTTGAAGACTGAAATTGATTTGGTTTGTGAAGGTGAACATTTTCATGTTAGGTGTTGCGCACACATTATGAACCTAATTGTGCAGGATGAATTGAAAGAGGCTGATGATGCTATTATAAAGGTTAAAAATACTGTGAAGTACTATAAAGGTTCACAATCTATGAGGCAAAGGTTTTAGGTAGTGTTTCACATGTAGAGCTACAATCTTCAAAGGGTTTAAAACAAGATGTTTCCACTCGATGGAACTCTTACATTATGTTGGATTCAGTTTTGTACTATAAAAAAGCATTTATTCATTTGGCGAAAACTGATGCTAATTATTTGCATTGTCCAACAAGTGATGAGTGGGGAAGAATTGAAAGGACTTTCAAGTTCTTGAAGGTTTTCTACGAGAAAACTTGTGCATTTTCTAGCTCTAAATATACTACTACCAATCTTTATTTTGCTAATGTTTTGACGGTTATAATGTTGTTACACAAAGAAAAAGACAGTGATGATACTTTCATGAAAAATATGGCTAGTCGGAAGTATGAGAAGTTTGAGAAATATTGGGCTAATTTTAGCACAGTTATGGCATTTGCGGCTGTTTTGGATCCTCGTTATAAATTTCAGATTGTTGAATGGGGTTATGAGAAAGTTTATGGGCACGAGTACAAATCTGAGTTGGCAATAATAAAAAAGAAATTGTTTTCATTATTTGATGAGTATGTGGATGAGTCACATTTGAATAAAACCAAAGTTGGTCAACCTAAGAGTGGATCGTTGGACTCCCAAGAAGGATCTCAAGATGTGCTAGATGTGGCTTCTGCTTCACTTATGATGGTATATACATTTACTATTTTTTTTCTTTTATACTTTTTCTGATTTATGTTATTTATCTAATATCTTGTTGTTATTTATCAGAACTTCGATACCTTTTCAAATAAGGTGACTTCTCAAGTCGTAAAATCTGAACTTGAATGTTATTTAGAGGAGAAGCTCATGCCTCGTGTGATCAATCTAAACATTTTGGACTATTGGAGAACTCATGAGGTTAGGTATCCAACTCTTGCTCGGATAGCTAGGGACATCTTAGCTATCCCTATCTCAACAGTGGCATCTGAATCTGCTTTTAGCATTGGCGGTAGGGTCCTTGATGCTTATAGAAGTTCATTGAAGTCTTCTTACAATTGAGGTTATAAGAAGTTATAAGAATTCTAATGCTTACAATTGAGTTATAAGAAGTCAGA